GAATAGAATAGAATGGAATAGAATAGAATAGATTGGAATGGAAAAGAATGGAATAGAATAGAATGGAATAGAATGGAATAGAATGGAATAGAATAGAATAGATTGGAATGGAAAAGAATGGAATAGAATGGAATGGAATGGAATAGAATGGAATAGAATGGAATGGAATGGAATAGAATGGAATGGAATAGAATTGAATTGAATGGAATGGAATAGAATGGAATAGAATGGAATAGAATGGAATGGAATAGAATGGAATAGAATAGAATGGAATAGAATGGAATAGAATGGAATGGAATGGAATAGAATGGAATGGAATGGAATAGAATTGAATGGAATGGAATATAATTGAATGGAATGGAATAGAATGGAATGGAATAGAATTGAATGGAATGGAATATAATTGAATGGAATGGAATAGAATGGAATAGAATGGAATGGAATGGAATGGAATGGAATGGAATGGAATGGAATGGAATATAATTGGGAGGGATGAAACCCTCTTTAATGGTCCCACATGCAGAGCACACAACACACACAGTGAAATGTGTTCTCTGCTTTAACCCATCCTAGTGCCAGGAGTCTAGTACCAGGAGCAGTGAGCAGCTATTGTACAGCGCCCGGGGAGCAATGGAAGTGAGGGGGGAAGGGGGGTGTCCGGTGCCTTGCTCAAGGGCACCACGGCAGGGCAGGAGGTGAACTGGGACCTCTCCAAGTAGCAGTCCACGCTCCATATTTTAGGTCTGTTCGGGGACTTGAACCGGCGACCCTACGGCTCACAGTCCAAGCCCCTACTGACTGATATGAAGCCTTCAGTTTTTATCAGTTCACTTTTATGCTCTCCTTCACAGACGTGATTTAAGATCTACAACTAAAGTGGGGAGACACAATACTTTTTATATATTACACTATTTTCTTTTTATATATTTCTTTTTATTGAAGACCCATAGAAAAGACATTTGGTACATTGATAGGGACCACAGTTCAAAGCTACTAGTAACCATTTACTATTGTGCATCAATTGAAGCCATACATGGTTGATTTTCTCTTGTTTTAATACAAAAAACAGTTTAATATAACTAAATCTATGTTCTTAGTAAAGGTATCTTTATATATATTTTAACAGAGGTGGTATAGTTTAGGTTTTTGTGCACCTGGCTTTATTTCATTTCATGTGATCTGACTGATTTACTCAGCGGTTGTAAACATTGACGGGATGTGAAATGTCCCGGGGTGAAATGGGGAGGAAGCAACACGATAGTCCGTCGGTTGTTTATGATTTAGTTTGAGAAAGGGAGCGTGCATTAGGCGTGTAGACCTGAAGCAGTTAGTTGATTTATCACTTAGTTGATTGACAGAACATGTAATGCAGCCTTTCCGATGCTTATGTTTGCGTGTTAATTGATTTAGAGACACAAAAATCCATGTGGGAAATTGTGTTGTGAAAAACTTTTGTTGACGTTTTGCTGACTAAGTTATTAATTTAACAATTGTTAAAGTTATTGCCATAGTAACCAATATGCGGCACTTCAGTAATAAGTATTTTACAGAATCCCAAAAGGAGGGCAAATGTGTGAAAATAGCATAAAAGATTCAGTATCCTTGTAAGGTTATTGATAACAAAAGAATCAAGCATACTTAGTCAATAATTAAGATAAAAAAGGTTGATACAAATCAAATTTACCAACAAAATGCACATAATAAAATAAAAAACTTTTAAACAAAAGTCAAACAATTTCTATATTAAAATTATTTTTAAAACTTTTTTTGTTGGTTCAAAGAAACGTCATTGTTCCCGAATTGGGACATTCATTTAGCTGCAGCAGCGTGTTACCAAGAAAATGCAAATCATTTAAAAATAAATGTATACTTATCAACATAGAGATATACATCTTAAGAGTATTTGTGGAATATAAAATGTACAGAAAAATTTGCAAACTAGTTTTAAATTTTTTAATAGAAATGTAAATGCATTGAGGAGAGCAGTTATACAATACAAAAGGTTAGTACCTGAAGTGCTGTACAATCAAACAAACATCAGAAAGCACACAGCTCGGCTCACACACCATACAACAAGCACAAGTAAAAACAATAGACAATTTAAAAGCAACAATGATGTGAAAACGCTAAGGAGAAGAGGTGGGTTTTAAGAAGCGATTTAAAAGCAGACGGTGAGGAGAGCAGTAGGTTTCTCACTCTGCTGAATGAGTGCAGGGAGTGAGGCCTGTGTCTCAGTAATACAGATGAGGAGCAAAGTGAGTTGTGCTGTAATGGAGTGTTTGGAGAGAGAGCAGCAGGCTGAGCGTCTCTCCGAGTGTCAGCGGGAGCTTCCTCAAAGATAACCTCTGCTCTGCTTCCAGCTCACAGCTCCAACATCTGACCAAACTCTCCTCTTATCGTCCTCCTGACTTCTCCGACATCTGACCAAACTCTCCTCTTATCGTGCTCCTGACTTCTCCGACATCTGACCAAACTCTCCTCTCTTACGCAGCGTCCACACAGCGGCGTGCGTTGAAGTTTGCCGGTGGGCGTGTCTGAAGCTCGACCAACAACCAATCACATGAATCTCCCGCCCCGGACACACAAGCACGCGGTTTGATTGGCTAGAGCTTGTACTGGCATATGATTTGATTGGCTGACGCTTCCGTCGAAGCTTCAAATGTTGAACATTGCTCAACTTTGGAAGCGAGCGAAGCGACGGAACCACAATGCAGTTCGGCAAAGCGTAATGTCACCCCATTCAAAGTGAATGAGCAGAAGCGTTGAAGCTTCAACGCACGTCGCCGTGTGGACGGGCCGTTATTGTCCTCCTGACTTCCAGCTCACAGCTCCAACCAGGGCACACACACACACGCACGCACACACACACACACACACACACACACACACACACACACAGCCTGCTACGCACACCACATAACTCATCATCTTGGCTCGCGCAGCACGCTCACAGGCATGTATTGCGCACCTTGGAGGTGAAGTGCAGGCATATTGTCATTCAAGAGAGAATACGATGCGTAGTTCTTTTGGAAAACGTGTTTTTCTTTTAGCCAATTTACCTCGCTGACGTAAATAATACTCATTACATTGACACATGCATTATTTGTGATTAAAATAATGGTTGTTGGTAATGTATTAGCGACCCCCACAGATGTATGATTTCACTGCTTCCATAGGAGCTCAGACCCCTCCTTAAGGGAGCTCAGCTGCCATTGGCTCCCACATAACTCAAAACCTGGCTCCAACATCTGACCAAACTCTCTTCTTATCGTCCTCCTGACTTCCAGCCAGACTCGGGCCCCGGACCTCTCCTGTTGGCCGGATACGAGGACGGTTCCCTGTTGCTGTGGGACGTTACCCAGAGGGCCCAGCTGAGCCAGACTAAAGCCCACCCTGAGCCCGTCATGTGCCTGACCTTTGACCCCCAGTGTCTGAGAGGCGTCTCTGGCTCCTCTGAGAAGGACCTCTGCTCCTGGAGGCTGGACGGACAGAACAACCTGCAGGTCAGCAGGCTTTCTACTCGAATGTTTCCAAAAACCTTTGTGTGCTGTTAATGAAACCCTTCACCCCCCAAAACTTCCTATCATGATTTTAAACTTGTCTTATAATGACAGCTATCAATAAACCATAAATGTGTTGAAGGTTAGAAAAAACATTTGTTTAATATTTTACTAATTAATCATTTAAATTCAGTAGTGTTTACTGTTTTAACCAATTTCTCCATATCTTCAAGGATCCCTATGTTTACAGTGTATTTGTTACTTGTATCTCCCGGTTTACTTTAATCAAACTATGTTAACCTTTAGCAAATACTTTAGGAACAATTTTTAGAGCTAATAAGTTCAACCATGTATGCATTACTTTTAGCTAACTATTGTAACTATTTTTCAATCACTTTAAGCTAATTCTTTTTTTAACCAAATACTAACGATATTACCAATAACATTACTCTATTACTTTAAGCTATCTATTTTATCATTATAACATTCTTTTTAGCTTTACTGTTTGGGCTACACCCCTTACTCAACCAAACAAATATTCTATGTATATTCAACCATGCATTTATTATTTACAACGATATAAACTGTTTATCCATAATACTAATCTTACTGTTAATACTTTTATGCTCTTTTGCTGACTAGTTTTCTGGCATCGTCGATCGTAACTTGCAGTATTGACGTGTTAAAGCACAATTACTGTTTGATATATTTGAAACAAATCGAATCATAATAGCTATACATATTTGAAATGAGTTGTAGTTATTGTTTTGATTCTGCCATCCATTCTTTTACACCTTCACAACTGCAGAAGTGCTGTCTGCAGAAGTGACCCTGCTTAAGGCCCTCCACCCCCTACATGCTAACAAATTGTTGCACAACAGTCAGCGCCATGAAATATCATAACATGATAATAGAGGAGTTCGGAGGAGAGTTGTGTTTCTCGAGGCTCTCTTAGAAAACACCAGGGGCCGAAGAGGAAGAGGCTCAGTGGGGCTGCAGGGGCCATAAATCAGCTGCTGGTTACACAGCGATGGCAGGGCCAGGGGCCAAGGGCCGAGCTGGGGCTGTCACTCCAGACTGAAACCACACACACACACACACACACACACACACACACACACACACACACACACACACACACACACACACACACACACACACACACACACACACACACACACACACACATTAGGGTTGAGTTATATACAGTAGTTCAGGATGAAAAACACGGCACAAAAATATCATTCTAACCCAGTTAAAAACTAAAAGAATCCATTATTCCTGTTAACTGGGATAATATTGATACACAAACTTCTTAAAAACACAATACACACTGGTTCTCACCATAGACTGTATGGTTCTCACACACGAAGAAATAAACAACACACTAAAGCCAACTCCAGAGCATCTTCTTCATCAGCTTAGCCGTAATTCATTTGACATAACAGCCAGCGCTTCAGAGACCTAACGCCTCATTTCAAGCTGTATTTTCTCTTGATTTCATGAGCAAAAGGGAATGCTCCCATTGTGCAGCCAACGGCCATGAATCAGAGCAGAAGGGAACCCGGGGCTGATATAGTACACGCCTGCACAGTCAAGGGGTATTATTCTTTCCAGGTCTTTTTACAAATGAATGCTTGAATTAGAAATATTTGCAAAGCCCCACATCTTTTCACCCTGAAAATGAGTTTGGAAAAACACTCTGAAGCATTTGATTCAATATACCCAAAAACAGGAGGAGATTGGTTATTTGGTTTATTTTGCTCAAGCAACAAAATATTGATTCAGCGTGTAATCCAGGATGAGGATGACAGGAAAAAAGCACAAGGAAGGGGAAAAGATCCAACAGGGGCTTTTAAATTATCCTGTAGTGCAGCTCAGTGTGACGTCCAGACAGCCATCCTCACTTCTTCCCACAAAAGTATTTCTGTGTGGCAGCAGTGAGGGGATGGGGGGGGGGGCGAGGACCTGCCGGGTTGCGGACCCGAGTCCTGACGGACGACCCGCGAGAGGTAATAAAAATATCAAAACCTCGGAGGCCCCCTTAACCAAACAAAAAACACATCTGCAGTAAAGGGAACAGTAGTTCACAGTGGGAGGCTGAGGACGCTGAGGAGGCTATAAGTGCCACGGCATCCCACTTCCCACAAATTAACCCTGAGATACCGTTGAATTTAGCGGCGAGCAAGATAAATGCTTTTCGTGTAATGGAGGGGAAACTGAATGTGACACAACCCAGCGCATTGATGATTTAGTGAAGCTGAGGGGCTGTGAAGTGAGCTTATCAAGCCCCGCTAAAGACAGATAGCCTCAGGAATGGAGGTTAATGTAATACACATGGCTCCCAGAGGCCTTTATCTGCCGTTTGACCCGGCTGCCCTGATATCGTTTCATAGCGATGAGGCATCATCTTCGGCCCTTTTTTCCTCCCTTTCCTTTCCTAGCGTTACAGTTTCGGGGAATGTGTCAGGGTGAGATTATGAAGGGCATTGGTGTCGGGGCTTTACAAGCTTGTAAGCCAGATGGACGTATATTTAGGCGGCCACTCAAATGTATTGATAAGCGCAGCGACGTGTGCCTTCAGGTGAAAGAAAAAGGTTGCAGAATGCAGGTATGGACAGAGGGAGATTAGCGGTGTAAATCAAGCGTGGCTGACGGCGAGCTACTTCTGAGACTGATGACAGTTCTCTAAAACAAATCCCCCAAAGTCTCCTAAATCTTCACCTAGTGGTCACTTATATGGTGTCTCCTGTGAATCCAATCCGACATGTTATTCGGGTCATATCAACCTCAGTCTGCTAAAGGACTGATGTAAGTCTGAGCTGCTGTCATCAAAATAAAAGCTCTCTTCCTTGAGAACTCGTTTTGTCTGAAAGGGTCTGCTTTGACACATCCACCTCCTGTCAGCCTCAGCCAGGCTCTGACAGGCGAGGTGACAAAAGGCTGTAATCTCCCTGCCGCTCAGTGTGATTCAGGGACAGGGTGTGTCCCGAAATACCTGCGAAAAAGCCTCCCGGCCGCTAGGCTCGAGTGAGTAAGCGATGACGGGACGTTTCAGTGGACGAGCGTGAACGCCAAGACCGATGGGGAAAAGGCGAGGGGTAGAAAAGTGGAGCGAGGCTTGAGTGAGATCTGCCAAGTGGACGCTCCTTTTGAACGTCTCCTCTGTCGGTGAGAGGCTACAAAAGAGGATCCCGAAGTGTGAGTTTGTGTTGGATCTGTCGGAGGCCGCAAGATGTGTAGTGGGCCCAGCTGCGGTCGCCTCCTGACAGCTGACAAAGCAAGCTTGCTGCGAGTGTGTGTGAGTGTGTGTGGATGCTGTAACACAGGGGAGAAAGGAGTGTTTAAACAAAACATAGGGTTTCAGATTAAATGAGACTCCCCCGATGGAGACATTGGATTTCATTGCAGTTTAATGGCAAGTAAAATGTGTAAATACTTTATATTGCTGCTGCTGGATGAGATTGAACTGAAATGACAGCACAATTTAATCCATTAACCTTTTGAGGACAAATGAATGGGCTTCAACTTCCATTTTATTGTCCATTTATCTGAGGATTGATTTCACATTGTTTCTTTTCCCCAACGCTCAAGGGGATGACTTCAGATTACTTGTTATTCACACGACTTGGGCTGCAACATTTGAGAAAAATTGCTAAGTGGATGAGTGCAATATCCAAATCGCAAGGCAAAATGTGTGAACATATCTGAATTAAGCTTTGTGGAGCTACGGGGAAGTCCTTGCCTACAAATATTATTCTACAGACTTTAAAAAATGTCCTTGTTAGTTTCAGACGCCATTTAAAAAAATCCCACCATAGTGATTCAATACATTTGATAATGTAAATGTTTCCAAATGTAGCCCTACCACCAACAGTGCAAAATATAAAATGTGCTCTTTTCCCTCCATCCGAGAGTTTGTTGATGGTTCTACCGCTCTCATGACGGTCAATGGGAAGCATTCAGTTAGCTTAGCACAACAAAATTGGAAACAGGAAGCCTGAATGCGTTCATAATGTTTAACTATTACTTAAAAAAATTACCTCAACAATTAATTGTTCATTTAAAAAAACAAAAAACAATGTGATCTCATAATATCTATATTGGCATCATACTTGGGTATAACTACATTTCGTAAGCGTCTCTCACTGCAGTAAGAAATAGGCACAAATAAATAAAAGCAGAGGTAGCAGCAATGAAAAGGCCCATTTAGATTAAATGAAATATAAAGTATTTACACATTTTACTGACCATAAAATGTTAACAAACAAACTGTAACATTTAAATATGACAGGGTGTTAGACATCGAAAAGAAATATCACTTAGAAACCAGCCTAGCTGCCTATAAGCCCCATGCATTTGACATTATAGCCCAGGAGAATCTTTTATTTTCTCACCACTTTCCATGTTCTCACACTATAGAAAGTCAAATCACTTCACCGGCTCTGCTGAGCGACCATTACTTCATCATTAGCCAGTTACTGCTTACGTTTGACCTTTTAATGAAACAAATGCCTTTACCGGACACAAACTATGGGAAGCAAAACAAACAAAAACAGACACTTAAACCCATCATTATCAGGCCTCTAATGCAAACCAGATGGAGAGCGGTAGGGGCATACCAACTGCTTGAGGGAATAACAAAGCTCAAAACAATCTTTCACCCCCCGGGTTTCTTTGTATCAGTGTATCTGGTTGTTTGGTCCAACCAGACACACTCTCTTTCGCACCAGTGGTACCAGCGATGATGGTTTGATAAACAAAAGCAATCACTGCGTGTCCTGAACTCGCTCAGAACCAGAATCGGTTTTATTATCAAGTAGGTTTACACATAAGAGGAATTGGCTTTGGTGTAGATGGATAGGTAGATAGATACTAGATATATTGGTAGATAGTTAGGTAGGTAGGTAGATAGATAGCAGTGTTTCCCACAGAATTTGATTCTAGTTGTGGGGGCACCGCACC